AAACACAAATAAGCAAACACTGAGGAATAACAACACTGCAGAAAAAAGATCAGTGAACCTGAAAACACAGCAATAGAAACAACCTAAAATAAAACAGGGAGGGGGAAAAAAAGGGACCAAAAAAAAAAAAAGGAGAGGGGGAGGGGAAACAGTATCAGTGAGCCCTGAGACAATTTCAAGGCACCTAATTGGAGTCCCTGAAGGAGAGGAGGTGGAGGGTCTAAAAACTGAAATCTGAAGAATAGTCAAAAATCTTTCCAAATTTCATGAAAACAATAAACCCACACATCCAAGAACCTCAACAAATTCCAAGCACAAGAAGCATAAAGAAAACTTCACCAAGCCATACCATAATCAAATCACTTCAAACCAGTAATAAGAAAACTCTTAAAAGCAGCCAGAGGAAAAAAGAGCCATTTTGTACAGAGAACCACAGATAAAAAGGCTGCAAACCTTCTGTCAGAAACAATGTCAGTCAGGAGACAGAAGACAATGCAAGACAGGTGCCTTCAAAGTACTCAAAGAAAAAAACCTGTCGACCTATATTCTATACCCAATCAAAATAGCTTTCAAAATAAAGGCAAAATACTTGTTCAGATACAGAAACAATAATAGAATTCATCACCAAGAAGGTCAAAAGCCAAAAGAATGGGTATATGAAAACAACAGTAAACAAGGCAACATTATTAATATCAAAGTAAGATTCGATGTAAATAGCATCAAATGGGACAAAAGCTTATTGTTCTTATTTTTTTTGCAAGTTTATTGTTAGTCAATGAATACCATTAATTCACAGTGAGAGTTATCTCTCAAACTATGTGTAAATGTAATATAGTCGTCAGGAAACAAGAGTGACAGAAACATAATTGTAGTAAGAAATATAAATTTTCCTTTTTTAATCCTTAAACCAGGTAGGCAAAAGATAATTGGGATGCAGAAACTTAGATTGGTATCACTGGTAATGCTAATTTAAAGGAAACATACAACCTCTACAGTCTACAAATAACACATCTTTTATTAGGTTTTTATAGGACATTAAAAAAAAGTGGGCAGAGAGAGCATCAGTTATCCCCAAAGCAGAAATGCACACACAGAGCACATTGATTACATGTGATTACACAATATAATAAGTCCAGATATATTAAAGAATAAATCTTAAAAACCCCACCCAATAATTAAACAAAATTCTTAATTCTAAAACAATGAAGAAATTAAAACTGGCATGTCAAATTCACAAAATTAGGAATAAGAAATGGAATATAACGACATATAGAAACTTTAAGACAGAAGACAATTAGACAATTCCACATTAAGAAATTTTAAAATCTCATGGATAAAAAGTTTTATAGAAAAATATAAATTATCAGAATCGACCTGAGAAGAAAAAAAAAATCTAAACAGATAACTGTGGAGAAATTACCAAACAGTTCAAATGATTTCCAAAAGCACACCAGGCCTAGAATAATTTATGGGAAAATTCTATAAAGCAAATTAATTCTTATGCTGTATAAACTGTTACAGAGGAATAAGAGGAGCAAGGGAATAATGGTGGGAGAAAACCTACTAATTACTTTTATTTAAACCCTGGTATCAAAATTAGACATGAAAAAACTGTAAGCCCACCTCACTTATTAACATAGAAAGAAAAATTATAAATCGCATGGCATTCTGGTTTGTTTTCTTTAATCTCTTGTGGGTCAAGTGCACTCTGAGTATGGCACATTGAAGAAACTGAGTTATTGCTCTCATCCCACTGAGGGCAAGGTCCTCACCTATGGTAAAACTACAACCCGAAAGCCAGCTCACAAGCTCTCTCTTTCACTCAAGATCACTCCTGTGCTTCCTTCTACAAGTGACAGGGTGTGGTGGGAGATAAACCTGGACAGGATTGCTGGGACTACCCTGCTAAAGGCTCAATCTGAACTTTAAATGTGGGCACTGCGGGCAGCACTGGAAACTTCTCAGTGATATGCTGTGAAATATGTTCAGGAAAGATAATCTGCTGATGCACTTAAAAGCAGGAGTAAGTGTGACGTACAGGCTTAATTGTAAGATTTCAGCAGGGGTGCCTGGGTGGCTCAGTTGGTTAAGTGTCTGCCTTGGGCTCAGGTCATAATCCCAGAGTCCAGGGCAGGGAGCCTGCTTCTCCCTTTGCCCCTCACCCAGCTCTTGCCCTCTCTCTCAAATAAATAATAAAATCTTAAAAAAAAAAAGATTTCAGCAAATATAATCAAAGTTTGAGGCAATGAAAGTAACAGTGAGTATGGAAAAGGTAGAATTGGTAGGACTAATTGAATTGGTAAGCAGGAACATGCAAGGTAATGCAAGGCACAAATAATACCATCAAGGGAGTGAAAAGGTAACCTCCAACATGGGAGAAAATATATGCAAATCACGTAAATGTTAAGTGACCTATATCCAGAATATATTAAAAAAACTCGACAACTGAAAAATGGGCAAAGAATTTGAATAGACATTTCTCTAAAGAAGATATACAAATGAGCACACAAAAAATGCTCAAAAATCATTATTCACTAGGGAAATGCAAATTCAAACCACAATGAGATACTGCCCATTCAGATGGCTATGATAAATAAAACAGACAAAAACAAGTATTGATATAGATGTGGAAGGATCCATTATACATTGCTAGTGGGAATATAAAATGATGTGGCGACTTTGGAAAACAGTTTAGCAGTCCCTCAAAGAGTTAAACATACAGCTACCATGTAACTCAACAATTCTACTCATAGATATATTCCCAAGAGCATTGAGAACATATGATATTCACAAAAATTTACACAGGAATATCCACAACAGCATTATCCATCATGGCCAAAAGTGGAAACAACCCAAAGGTCCTCATCTGATGACTGAATAAACAGAAGGTGGTATATCCATAAAATGAAATATTATTCTTTATTCTTAAACTTTCTGCCAGAAACAATGTCAGTCAGGAGACAGTAGACAATGCAAGACAGGTGTCTTCAAAGTACTCAAAGAAAAAACCTGTCAACCTATATTCTATACCTGGATTTTTATTGCAATCTTTTGGCAATAAAAAAGAATGAAGTGCTGATAGATGTGATAACATGGCTGAACCTTGAAAACATTATGCTAAGTGAAAGAAGTTAGATACAAAAGGCCACATCTTGTATGATTCCATTTATAAGAAATGTCCAGAATAGAAACACTTATAGACAAAAAGTAAATCAGTGGCTGCCAGAAACTATGGGAAAAGGAAACGGGAGTGACTGACTGCTAACTGGGGTTTTGTTTTTTTTTTTTTGGTGGTGGGGGAAATGAAAATCCTCAAATTAGATTGTGGTGATGGGTATACAGCCCACTGAATACACTAAAAAACTTTTAATTGCACGTGAATTATATCTTAATAAAGTGGTTTAAAAAATAAAGTGATGTGAAGTAAACTAGCTACCTATACTGACTACCAAGTTTCCAAACTGGGTAACTAGGAAAATGTTGTAATTAGTAGAGATAATAACAGCATCTACTATTTATTAAATGTGTGCATTGTTCCAAAATCTGTACAAAAGCACTCTATGTATTTTATCTCATTAGTCCTCAAAATAAACCACTGGATAGGTATTTTTCATTCCTATTGTATAGAATAGGAAACAAAGAGGCTAAACTACTTGCTTAAAGTCATATAACTACTAGGTGGTGCAGTTGGAATTCAAATTCAAAACACTTGCTCAGGCCCAATACAGCCTGATGTTGGTATGGAAGGTAAAGGTGAATACTATTTTCAGAAATAAACAACTGAAATAATCTATAATATACAACACATTCCTAAACTCCAGAGCAAATTATTTACCATCCTCAGACTTAATGAGGTACTAGCGATTTTATCTTGCACAGTTAAGAAAAAAACAAAAAACAAAAACAAAACCAAACCAACCTAACAGTAACAGTTCTAAAACATGCACACCTATCCCCACTCATTCCCTCCATAGTTCATGGAGGCTCCTTGGCTTTTTTTTTTTTTTTTAAGATTTTATTTATTTATTTGCCAGAGAGAGAGACAGCGAGACAGAGAACACAAGCAGGGAGAGTGGGAGAGGGAGAAGCAGGCTCCCCGCAGAGCAGGGAACCCGATGCGGGGCTCGATCCCAGGACCTGGGATCATGACCTGAGCCGAAGGCAGATGCTTAATGACTGAGCCACCCAGGCGCCCCGGCTCTTTGGCTTTTTTAAAAGCAGGGAAAAACAGGGAAATATTGAAGAATCACCAAGCTCTAGATGACCTTCAAGGTCTCTTCCAACTTTGATGAATTTAACAGTAGCCTGTATTTATTATACAGCTAAAGAACAGTATGTCAAGTTTTACACATTATTTAAACACAATTACATGTCTGAAAAACACAGATAGCAATATAATAGGGAAGCAGACCCATCAGTCTTGAAGCCCTCCAGAGATTTCTTAATCAGAACAAAGGGTAATTTGCATGCTTACTGTAGGGAGCACGTTTAAACACAGTAAATACCACTTTAGTAAATCTAAAGACTGGCACAAATGTACAAAAATACCAATACCCCATGCCTACCAAAATTCTTTATATTCGTCAAATGCTTTACAGTTCACAAAGCAGACTATGGAAACCTGGGTCTTGCAATACCCCTGAATCCTCATACTCATTTTAAAGATGAGTAAACTGAAGCTCAGGAAGGTTAAAAGACCTGCCCAATGTCATATATCTCAGAAGTGGTAGGTCAGGATTCAAATCAGTTTAATTTAACTCTTATTTTTCTAAGTTAAAAAAAAGTCACTTGGCAGAGAAATTTCTCTGAAGTTACATGCTGTAAGGGTATGATATAAAGCCGTGATTGGTCTTAAAATACGCAAGAGCTCCTCCCCAGAAGAGAAGTAAAAGAAACTGTGGTCTAGAGCAATTAAATACAACATCATTATTTTTGCTGAAAAAGAAACCATTTTAGTAAACAATTTAAAAAACTGTCTTTTTAGTAAGTTCACAGCTTACCTAATGCAAAGCTGTATTCCTGGGAAAAAGCCCGTTATGCCATGGCCATCACAAAGCAGTATGGATGAATGAGGAAGAGAAACCCATTCTCAGTTTTGTTTCAAATTAAAATCTCACTGACTTCTGAAAGAAAAAATCATGTTGAAAATGTAAAAGAGATGCTGGTGACATTTACCGTGTCCATGCGCCTTGCTAATAAATACCACAGGTGTGTGAGCAGCAGAAAGAAAACTAACACTAGTATTTTTGGTTATATTAACTTCTTTGTTTCTGTGTTGTATTTTTAATTTTATTTTTTTAAAGGTTTTTATTTATTTGATGGAGAGAGAGAGCACAAGCAGGAGGAGAAGCAGGCAGAGGGTGAGGGAGAAGCAGGCTCCCTGCTGAGCAAGGAGCCTGATGTGGGACTCGATCCCAGCACCCTGGGACCATGACCGGAGCCAAAGGCAGACGCCTAACCTACTGAGCCATCCAGGCGCCCTCTGTATTGTATTTTTTAAATAGACTTTCAATTTTGAAATAATTTTAGATTTACAGAAAAGTTACAAAAAATGCCAAGAGTTCTGTACATCCCTCAACCCCTCGCCCAGTTTTGATAACATCTTATAATACCATGGCACATTGGTTAAAAATAGAAAACCAACACTGATAAATGTCTATGTACCTTTACAGAATTAAAATATCCTTTGGAAAAGTGTTTTCAGCCTCCAGACCACTGCCAATCAGCACTCCTACAGGTTTTAAGTGGAAGACTTTAGCCAAAGAACTCAGTAAAACCTATTTTATCATTTTAAAAAAAATGAGCTAGCTACTTGAAGAGGTCTGATTCTTGTCTCCCTTTAATTTTAAGCCACTGCTGAATGTTTTACTTAAAACTTCAGGGCAAACATTCCATTGTGGTAAACTCTGAGATTCAAAAGAGAAGGTATTGTTCTAACCACTAACTCCCCACTTATCAGTGATCCTGCCATTACATTACAATATAGCCAAGGAAATGGTTTTAAATGCACACTCATACTCATTAGCATTCGGGGTAAGAAGCTCAAATCAAGAAAAAAGCAAAAGGCAGAAAACAGCACTAAGTTTCAGGAAAATGATTAGCTACAAACCGACAAAATAAAGTTTTTGTCCTAAACATGTTACAAATAAGACAAAAATCTTTCTATTTCAACTGTAAATATAAATAAGGTAAAAAGGAAAAGTTCATGAAAATGATAGAGTACATTCAACTGATTTTAAGAGGCATATTTCAAAATTTCTGCAATCAGGATGTGATGGCCAAGTGGAAATTTTAATGCTTGTCACTGCCTGAGACAATGATAGAGCATTCCTGAGAGCCTCATCAGTGTTTCTGAAGGCACAAAGGAGGACATTGTGGAAAAGTATGGACCCAACTCTGAACTGAAAAGTATTCAAAAGAGTAGGAATGTTAAAAGTTTAACAAACACTTTAACCAATTTATTTCACTTCTTTTTATTTAGGCTTTAGAATGATGTCATTTAAAAATATCTAAATAAGTTTAAATAAGTCTTCTCAATAAGAACTTTTATAAGCCTAAGGCGCCTGTGTGGCTTGGTTAAGTGGCTGCCTTCGGCTCAGGTCATGATCTCAGGGTGGGGGGATCAAGCCCCACATCAGGCTTCCTGCTCAGCCAGGAGCCTGCTTCTCCCTCTTCCTCTGCCCCTCCCCCTGCTTGTGCTCTCTCACTCTCTCTCTCAAATAAATAAAATCTTTGAAAAAAAATTTTTTAGAAGCCTAAATGATTAAAAAAGCATGTCATAGCTTAATTGGCAGTGTTTTCTCCTCCTTTGGTAGTAGAGAAAACAATCGATGGTATCTAAGATTCCATACAGTAGTAATTCAGCTGCTATATCCCGCAAGAAAGCTTGATAAACTACCATACCCGCAACCTGATAGCTTAAATAAGAGAACATAATACAAAAGCCTCCTCCATCAGAAAACACACAGGAAATGACACCTAATTTTGCATTATCATGATAACAGGGTTATTTTTCCAACCCTAAGAGTTTTCTTCATGTAAAAAGCAAAATTTCCTCAAATTTCCCATGGGTATGCAGATTTCTGCACCGAATCCAAGGAACATAGAGGGAGAAGAGCCAGGGCAGGAATCTGCCATAAGTAGAAAACTTGAGGGAAGATTTTAGCCAATTTTTTTTAACCGAACTCCTTTTCTAAGGATATTAGCTGTGAGGAGAGCAGGCATCAACAAATGTAGGCTCAACTAAATGTTCTAAGATCCACAAAATAAATTTTAAAAATCACATTTTCAAAGATCTGGTTAGTTCCAAGCTTCTCCAATGAGCAGGGTTTTTTTTCCCTGTACTGTGGTAAAATATACTTAACATAAAATTTACCATTTCAAAGTGTACAATTGTGGCATTAAGCACATTCACAACATTGTGCAACCATCACCACTATCATTTCCAGAACTTTTTCATCATCCCAAACTAAAACTCTGTATCCGTTAAACAATAACGCTCCATCCCCTCCTGTGAATATAGTTTACCAGCCCCTGGTAAACTATATTCTACTTTCTGTCTCTATGAATTTGCCTATTTTACATACCTCACATAAGTGAACTCATCCGATATTTGTTCTTATGTGTCTGGCTTATTTCTCCAGTGAGTACTTTAGTAAAGCAAAGAATGAAATCCCGAATTACTAGGTTTCTTAATAATTTAACTGCACATACTGACACAATCTCTGAACTAAGCATACAGCTTTCCCAGAAATCCTGCTGTTCCATGAGCCCCAAGGGGCAGAGACTCTCAGACTGACCCTTCCTTTGCCTGTAGACAGGCCTAGTTAAGCAGCTAGAACTCAGAGAGAGTTTGGCTCCTGAGAGCCCTGGAGGCCATCCTGGAGTAAGTGGACGGAGGCTTAAAGTGGAGTGCAGTCTTAAAAACCATGGGTAAGAAAAGGCAAGGATTTATCAAGCTACTTTGGCCCTGAGATGGTCTCCGGTTTGCCTGCCAGGAGGAGCTCCTGCACCCGGACACTTATGTTGGGCGACACCTGTCAGAGTTGAGGCTAGACTGCAGAGTAGTCACTGAGAATGTCACCAGCGCAGGAAGCTTCACGGGGTCATGAGTCACTTTGCATGGCTCAGAGGTCCGGGCAAGCCTGCCCTGCCCCGCCCAGACAAACCCAGTTAGGAGAGGTACAAACAAGAGAGAAAGACACAGAACTGGCAGAAACACAGATGGCCAAAGAGCAGGGCTGACACGCAGGCCATGAATGAGAGTAAAGACTGAGAGGGAAACACAGGGTTAAGAAACACAAGCAAAGTTGAGACAGAAATAAAAAGAGTCCAGATAGAGATGGGCTCAAGAGAGATAAACTGGAGAGAAATACAAAGTTGACAGGGGCAGAGTTGAGGGGCAGAAAGGGCAGGTGACAACAGGTGACAGAGGCCGCAACAGAGATGAAACAGTACTTAGAAGTAAACAGAGGCAGATACCAGCAAAGTCCGGGTGCAGCCCTTCTCCTGGCCTTGGCTCGAACCCGAGGCCGCCACGCCGCACCCACACTGCGCCCCCGAAAGGCCGGCGGACGTACCGGGGCGGGATCTCTAAGCGCTCTGGCCCGCCGAGGTCCGCCGCCGCGGGGTGACCTTGGGCGAGACTCTGCCTCGGGGGCCTTGGTGTCGCGGTCCGCGTACCGGGCTGGCTGGAGACCGCAGGAGTCGGACCAGGGCGCCGGGACTCCAACCGCCAAAGCATGGCTTAAGCATCCCGGTCTGCGGAATGGGCCTGCCGGGCCGGCGCCGCGCGCGCGCCAGGACCTGCAGAGAAACCCTTAAACCTCTCCGGCTTCCCTCCCTGCCCTCTCGCTACCTGTTGTCCCGACTCCGCCGTACCTGCTAAGGGCTCCGCGCTCACATAACCCGCCCGCCGGACACTTTCCACCACCGGCGTCAGGCCCGTTGAAGCCGTCGCCGCCGCGACCGCCTCAGCCTGCGCCTCCCGCCCCCGGAAACGCTTCCCGGTTCCGCCCCCGAAACTGCCAGTGCTTCCGGGGGTGCGTCAGAGCGAAAGCGGTGTGCGCATGCGGGACTCGCTTTCGGGGCGGGGCGTTAGGAGAGCGCGCCGTTGCCGCCGGCTACTGCGCAGCGTAACCTGGCGCCGGTCGATCGGCTTTGGGGACTACGAGTGAGGACGCTGCTGGGAGTGAGGGAGCTGATACCAAGTCCTAACCCCTTTCAAACCCCTTTCTCATGCTGCCCAGCAGAGATCTTGTCAGATCCATTTTTGCCTCCACGTTGCCTTTCGCACGTAGTGGATGCTCAGTGTACAACGAAAGGAACAGTTCCCTCTGTGTGGCAGGCGCTGTGCTGGGTCCCCCGAAGGACCTATTTTGTTCAGGTACCAGAGGAGATCCTTCGATCTCAGGGGAGGTAGATCTTCACTGCTGCTAGAAGGAATGACTCATTATTAGTCCAAACTATTCATGGTAATCTCATTAGCCAGTGGTTAGACCAGGCATAGTCATGTGACCAACTTCTGGCCCATAATATCTATCTACACATATATATATCTATATACATAGATATATATATTTTAGCAAAGTCCACTGAGACTTCTAGTTGAGTATGCTCCTTAAGTGCTTTGCCATTTTTTTTTTTAAGATTTTATTTATTTATTTGAGACAGAGAGAATGAGAGGGAGGAGGGTCAGAGGGAGAAGCAGACTCCCTGCCAAGCAGGGAGCCCCATGCGGGACTCGATCCCGGGACTCCAGGATCATGACCTGAGCCGAAGGCAGTCGCTTAACCAACTGAGCCACCCAGGCGCCCAAGTGCTTTGCCATTTTTATTTTCTTCCTGCCTCTAAGCAGACTGAAGGTTGGAAGTTCAGTCCCAATCATGTGCCTATGATGTGACAAGCAAATGCTAAAGCTGGCAAAATGGAAGGATTGAAAGAGCCTAGGTCTCATATGACATTAAGCTACAGTTCTAGCTTACCTCTGGATGTTTCGTTGGATAAGCCTAATACATTTCTTACTTGGACTTTATTTCTAGCAATATTGTAGTCTCTTCAAATATAACAGCAACAAAATATATTAAAATGCTAGGAAAAATATTGAAAGTACCCTTTTCAATACATAGATAAGCTTGTGAGAAAGTCAGGAAAATCATCTGAGACCAGGAAGAAAGCAGAAACACAAGCCTAGGAAGTTAGATCAAGTTGATGTTCAGAAGTTATGCAGAGACACAGTCTGCATCTGTTCTGATTGGTTAGCATGTGTGTTATACTGATAAATATTTTAAAAATCATCTCTGGAGGTAGGTAAACAATGATGTTGCTACTAGCTGTAGGGGCATCTACCGAGGTCCAGGCAAGATGAGAGCCAAATTGGAATATCAGGTTGGGACCCAAGAAGGGATATATCTTTAGGGGAAGGATGAACTAGAGGGGAAAAAAATCTGCCGGGCAGAGGTAGGCAGCAAGGAAAGTTTTCTCTCTCTGCCTTGGCTCTAGGTAGAGAGGCAATGCATTTTACCCCTAATGGATGCATGGTTAGAGTCTGGCCATTGCATGGCCACAATGTTTGCATGGTCCAAAAGCCCACAAGCTGAATATTTCAATTTAAAATGGACCTGATTGATAGTACCTATGGTACTTGGCTGAAACAAATACATGTCCTTTCTAGAAGAACTCACTGTCAACCCAGGTCTCAAAGAATTCCCTCAGGCTTCCAAACGAATATGAACTCACAATAACCACAGAACCCATAAGGAAATAAGCAGAGACGTCAAGCAGCAGAGGCGGATCTGTTTTCTTTTTTAAAAGATTTTAATTATTTATGTTAGAGTAAGAGAGCAAGCACGAACAGGAGGAGGAGGAGAGGGGGAGGGGAGGGAGATACTCTCCAACAGATTCTGCTCTGAGCACCGAGCCTGATGCGGGGCTTGGTCCCACCACCCTGAAATCATGACCTGAACTGAAACTGAGTCAGACGCTTACCTGACTGAGCAACCCAGGTGCCCTAAGATCTGTTATAAATGAATAGCTCATTGGAAGGTTTAAGCACCAAATTAGATACAGCTGAAGAGAAATTAGTGCCCTAAAAGATAGATTTGAAGAAAATAACCCAAAAAGCATCCCAGAGAGACAAAGAAATGGAAAACAGTGAGGAGGTTCATCACAGGCTTGTCAATTATGTTAGGAAATTATAAAGTGAATGTGAGCAAGGCAATTGTGAAATAATGATTGAGAATTTTCCAGAATTGATGAAAGATAAGAATCCTCATGAAGCGCACTGAATTCCTAGGTATGGTAAGGGAATAGAAACCTCGATCCATTCTGGTGAAACTGCAGAACACCAAAGCACAAGAGATAATTTTTTTAAGATTTATTTATTTTGAGAGAGAGAGAGAGAGAGAGAACACACGAGCATGGGGGTGGGGGTGGGGCAAAGGGAGAGAATCTCCAGTAGATTACAACCTGAGTGAGGAGCCCTACATGGGGCTCGATCTCACGACCATGAGATAATGACCTGAGCCAAAACCAAGAGTTGGATGCTTAACCGACTGAACCACCCAGGCTCCCCAAGAGATGATTTTAAAAGCAGAGAGGAAAGTCAGATAATCTATAATGGAATGACGTGATACTGACTCCTGATTGTTCAGTGGCACTAATGGGAGTGGAGATAATAATAGTCGCATGAAATAATATCATTAATGAAATAATCACCTTAATGTGATGAGAGAAAATAATTGTCTACCTAGAATTTTATATTTAGTCTTTCAAGAATAAAAACACAGTACCGCTCAGATCAACAAAAACTGAGAGTTTCAGGGCGCCTCAGTGGCTCAGTTGGTTAAGCATCTGAATTCGGTTCAAGTCATGATTCCTGTGTCCTGGGATCAAGTCCTACATCGGGTTCCCTGCTCAGCGGGGAGTCGGCTTCTCCCTCTGCCCCTCTCCCTGCTAGTGCTCACTCTCTCTCTCTCTCTCTCAAAAATAAATAAAAATTTAAAAGAAGTTAAAACCCTAAGAGTTTCTACCAACAGAACTTAACTGAAGGAACTTCTAGAAGATATATTTCAGGAAGAAATGAAATGATCCCAGGAGGAAGACCTGAGGAACAATAAAGATTGGTGAGCAAATAAAATGGCAAACATGAGTAAATATGAACAAATATCAGGACAAGAAACAAGAACAATTTATAATTTGTGGGATTCCGAAAGGCAAAACAGAAATAATGGAGTGATTGTATATAAAGTATAAAAGGATAACTGAAGGTAAAGTGTTATGAAGTGTGCATGAGTTATCTATTGCATAACAAACAGCCACAAAACCTCGGAGGGATACAACTATATTTGTTTATTGCTCACACATCTGGTGTCAGCTGGGGGTGGATTAGGAAGCTCTACCGAGCTTGGTTGGACTTGCTTACATGTCTGGGCTCAGCTAATCTAGAATGGTCTTGGCTTGAGGCCTTTACTCTGCTCCATGTGTCTCACTCACCAGCCAGGCTGTGAGGATAAGTTCTCTTGGCAGTGGCAGGGACACAAAAGAGAGCAATGGAAATGTACAAGCACATTTTCAAGACTCTTTTTACATCTAATTAGCCAAAGCAAGTCACATGACTGAGTCCAGTGTTATAGCAGGAGGGAGCTATGAAGGGTCATGGCAAAGGGTTTGCATACAGAGAAAGCGAAGAATTGGAGCCGTTGGTTCAATTAATCCAAGGTCTTTGTACTGTCCATAAAAATATTGATTAGCATTAGACTTTAATTAAATATGAACATTAGAATTGGGGGCTTACCATTGAAAGAATAAAAATAGAGCTACAGACCAAACCAGAAGAAGAAAAATAACATTTTAAAATGTTTTATAAAAGATTTTATTTATTTATTTGAGAGAGAGAAAGCGAGAAAGAGCGCATGCATGAGTGGGGGGAGGGGCAGAGGGAGAAGCAGACTCCCCACTCAGCAGGGAGCCCAACTCAGGGCTCAATCCCAGGACCCTGGGATCCTGACCTGAGCCAAAGGCAGATGCTTAACTGACTGAGCCACCAAGGCACCCTGAAAAACAACATTTTAAAAAAGAAGGCAAGTAGGGAGAAGGGGGGAAAAGCAGAAACGAACACATAAAACATGGAAAAACTACAAAGCACAAAATAAAGTGGAAAAAGAAATTCAAATGTATCAGTAATCACAATAAATACATTTTTTAAAGTCCTAAACCTTCTAGTTAAAAGAGATTCTAACACCAAGTTTTGTGTTTTGTTTTGTTTTTAAAGATTTTATTCATTCATTTGAGATAGAGTGAAAGAGAGAGCACGAGCTGGGGGGCAGAGGGAGAGGGAGAAGCAGGCTCCCCACCAAGCAGGGAGTCCGATGCAGGGCTTGATTCCAGGACCCCGGGACCATGACCTGAGCCGAAGGCAGACACCCAACCAACTGAGCCACTCAGGTGCCCC